TTTTAGAATAATAATTAAGGGTCAAGAAAAACAAATAATAAATTTTATTATGATCAATATTCAATGTTGTGTGTTTGATTGATATTGTTTAAGTTTAAATAGGTAGTTGGTTGGTTTATTTTTTTACAATTTTTTGTTTTATAATTATAGAAAAATTTATACAAAAAGCAAAAATTTTATTATTTATATACAAATAAGGATTAAAGCATATTTCAAGGGGATAAATATTTAAATATGTAAAGTCTACTTTAAGGCGAAGAGGGTAAAACATTTCTAAATTCTTTTTGGGGAAAATCTGTAATTCTTTAAATTTAGAAAAACTTAAAACCTCTTTTTATAATATAATAAACATATAGATTCCCCTAATTATAAAGTTCAGAAAGATTTCATAAACACACCTTTAAAAATTATTGAATTTTTCCAAATTTCTTTTAATTTCCTACCACAAAAATTCTAATCCAAATGGACTAAAAAACATGATTCTAATTAGTTACAACAATATCCCAAAAATAAAAAAAAAAACACCCCAACATTTTCTCTTACAACACATTTTCTCTTGCAACATTTGTTACAACAAAATTGTAAAGAAAAACGAGAAAAAAAACTCTATTATTTAACGTCACCGCAGTGGCATCTCTACAAAACGCAATGTGACAACAAATAAATAAGAAAAAAGCTATACAACAAAAACAACAAAAGATTTTTACAGGAATACGGGGAAAAAGAAAAAAATCGATAAAATGACAACCGGGGTAAAATACAAAAAATAAATAAAACTGAGAGAAACAAAAGTATGACCGCAACAAAAACAACATGAAAAAAACTGAGAGGCTGCTGCATGTTATTTTTGATAAGAAAGAGCAGATGAAAAGAAAATAAGTAAAAAACGCATTAATGAAAAAAATAACAAAAAAGTACCGGATTTAATGTTGCCGTACAAAGAATGTTTAATTTCAAATATGGGGAAGAGTAATTTTTGTTTGGGAGTATGCATATTAAATATTATTTTATTTTTAATTAAAATTAAAAAAAAATACTTTTTGAATTGTAGATATAAATGACATTTCCCTAACAATACCAAAAATTGTCTTTAAAATAGGTCCTATGCACATTTTATTAATAAAGGATCAAACAATTTTTTAAAGTTCAAATGCTTAACGATCGACACAAATATTTCTTGAAAAAATTAAATATTATATTCATAAAAAAGTAGAGTATTTTTATAAAAGTAGCCGTAACGACCGGTATACTTCATGTATACTGTTGAGGGGAAAAAATTTCACATTTATTGACCATAGTTGTGATTATTAAAAAGGTATTGAGAGTACATAACAAGGTAAACCTTCCTTCAAAAACTAATTATGTAAAAATATTTATGGACAATATCGTGTCAAGTGACCCTACTCAAAAAATCGATTTGAATGATTAGTACTAACTAATAGGCCGGACAAAAATTTTTAGCCAAGAACGGACTTGGAGAGGCTCAAATTTGGACTTTTTAATCAAATGAGTGTAAGTTTTTAACTATTGGTTCCTGCAAAAATTAATTTGAAAATTAAATTTGTTATGCTGTTCCAGATATGTTTCAACATTTACTAATTTCAAATGAACTAAATTTCAAATTGAAATTGCAATGCTATCATTGAATGTTAACGCTCAAAGTTAAAGATATAGGTCAAAGGAAATTTTTATAGTTATTTTCGATACTGGCTGTAATTCTAACAATTAATATCAGAGGTATACATAAGTCAGATGCAAAGGTCTAAAAGCGCTATTGGAATTTTTAAAAATTCTGTAACAAATCTCTGAACTAAACATTTCCAATTGTAATTCCTAAATTTTATATATTTTAGAAATTTCCAATTGATTTTTAAAAATTTCTTTTATATTTCAGTTTCTGATTACACCGTCCGAAAAAAAAGAAAAAATCAGTTAGACACGAATATACTTCTGAAACTATAAATTTAATGAAGAAAAACTGTGTTTTTTGTTTTTGATTTCGTAAAATTATAAAAAGTATTTTTTTTTAAAGTACTGTAAAATACTTCTACTGACCAAAGAAAGTTAAATTTCAGTTCAAGCAAACAGGAAGATTTGAGATATATTTTGTATTATTTTATTTTGTATCCATTTTAAAGGACTTCGAAGTTATAAAAGTAATTTTTTTAAATAATACTTTAAAATACTTCATCAAACAATGTTAAATTTGATGCCAAGCAAACAAGAAGATTTGGCAAATATTTCGTATTATTTTTATTTTTTTACTATCAGGATAAAAAGATGTCAAAAATGCCTTTTGAAATTTGTATCCTTTAATATCTATTTGGGTTCTTAATATTATTTTTTAAAAAATTGCTGAAAGATATTATTTAGATCTTTTGATCCTGGCACTTATTCTCCATTAAATGTATAGTTTCGTCCGGCTCGTGTCTAATTTCGAATGTCGGACGGTGTTATATTTCAGAAATTTCCAAATATATTTCAGAATGTTCTATTTAATTTTCAGAATATTCTATTTATTTTTTAAAAATTTCCAATTATATTTCAGAATTTCTAATTGTATTTCAGAAATTTTCATTTGTATTTCAGAAAATTTAAATTTAACTTTAATGTAAATTCCAACACAGTGCAACAAAGTGCTCTAGACAAACTGTTGAAATAATTAGGTGCTCCAAGAAAGAAATAGAAGATGCTGTAAAATATAAGTTTAAACCAAAAAATATCGAGAAAAAATAAAAAATTACATAACTTAGATGTTGCCAGCTTAATAGTAAGATCTCTCATGTATAAACATAATTTAAAGGATAAAATTAGTAGAAAAGTATTATATGGTACTTTAATGATCCTGAAAGAAAAAATAAAATTTTTCAAAAACATTTGAAATCTCCCCTATGAAGATCATTGAACATGGTGGCGGATACGTAATGGTATGGGGTTATTTTTCTTGTTTGGAACATGGTCTCTATTTCGGATTGAGGCAAGATAGGACTGTAAATATCCCATAATTATAATTAATGATGCTATGCTGAATGAGAAGTAGCACTTTTTAAGGAGATTCCTACTATTGTGTGCTCAAAAGCGCAATTTTTTTACATGACTCCATATTTCTTGCTCCAAAAAGAGGTGTTATTTCTTAAATTTTCGATTCAGTTTGAAAATTGTATACAAATTTTTATATTTTTGCAAACCTAGGAGAGATTTTAAGTGGAGAGAAACTTTAAACGTGATGGTGGCTCTATTTCATCGAACATCACTGTACGTCACACGCACATAAGTTCGACATTTACGAATATTTTTAAAAAATTGTTTTTTCGTTTGTTTCTGAAATATATTTTAAGATATTTAAAGCTTATTTCATTTAATTATCGCAAATTGTGATCGATTCGTAGCTATTTGAAAATGAGTTTGAAGATATTTTTGATTTCCAAAATTTTTTTTTAAATTCATTAATTAATAATTATATTCAAACAAAATTTTTAAAAACTGTTAGTTTGTAAGAAAAATTATTTCATATGTTTAGAACATACATGGGAATTTTTCATTAAGCATTAAAATTTCATTACCATTTATAGAAAAAATTGTAATGAAAAATATTTTAAGTACCATTTAATGAAAATTATATTTTTTTCATTATAACTTTTTTTGATAATGGTAATGAATTTGATAATGAATTTTCAAAAACGAATTTAATTAGTATTTATAATTGTCGAAAAATATATTAAGGAAATTTTTTCGAAGATTCGAGGTTTGAAAGCTTTTAAAACCAGTTCCCGTAGCCCAAATTGGCTGAAATTTTGCAGGCATAAGTACATCTGATGACAATACAATAATATGTTCGAATATTCGAAATTAAGTTCGAAAATTCGAAGTTATTTTCGAAAATTTTTTTATGTTTTTAAATTAATCTCTGTGTCATAAAACCTAAAAAAAAATTTCGAAAATTCGAACTCGTGTTCGAAAAACTTTTAAAGCTGTTAAAACTAGTTCTTCTAGTCCGAATGTGCTGAAATTTGGCATACATGATTTCACCTAATGACAATACATTATAATGTTCGGATATTCGAAATTAATTTCGAAATTCGAACTAATGTTCGAAAATTTTTAAAATCTATTGAATAATGGTAATGAAAATTTATTTTTATATAATTACTAATGAAATCGTTTCATTAAAAACCATTACCATTAGACAAAATAATGCTAATGAAAAAAAAAATAATTATAATTTTTTTCAATTTAATGCTAATGAAATCGTCAATTAATTAGTCGATATAATTAACTACTCCCATGTATGGTTTAGAAACATTATAGGGAAAAGCAGAAATAAAAAATATTGGAAAAAAGTCATTTGGTTCTTCAGTATAAGCTTCCAGGATTAAAAACTAAACATCGAATATCGGACAGAGCAGAGGGGTTGCACTGTAACTCGATTCGATAGCAAACATTTTCGAATTTGTATGTTAAATACATTGTGTTTCGAAAGCGTTTTCTTTTGAATCGAAATACGGAGTAACTACCCATGACTCGTAGGACTTTAATATTAGCACCGGTCAATATCGATGTCAATAACAACCTAGAGGTATACTTAAAATATCTCTTGATAAATATTTTAGTTTTTATAAGCCTTGTTATCTTGTGATGAGTCAATTATTAAATTTTCTATATCAACCTTTCATATTTGTATCTCTATTTTATTTATGAAAACCATTTTATTGTAATATGTTATTCTGGCTATTAATCGTATCCCGTAGGGTAAATATAAACAAAGAATCTGGCAACTTTAAACAGAGTATTATTCACGTTAAAAAAAAGAACACAAATTCTGAGCGCACAGCATTTTATCCAAGAGACTTCTTTTGTTGTTTTGCATAAATTTACGAAATTAATAAATTTGTATATAAATAAAAAAAATTTTTTGCTTTTTGTATAAATGAAAAATTAAGAAGTTTTTCGTCTAAATTTAAACAAAAATATAAAGAAAATTAATATTGTTGTATGCCTACCTTTCGTTTAATATTAAATCATAGACTGTGAAAACGTTCTTAGAAATTTGTTTTCTCTTTGGCTTTTTCTTACTTTTTGTATTTATTTGTTAAACACAACACACACTGAGATAGATACAAATAAAAGAATACGACACTAATTTAATTAGTTAAACAACTAACAAAGAATTAAAAGAAAAAAAGAGTTTACAAATAAATAAATAAATATTGTTTATTAAATTTGCACAGTGTTTTCGTTTTTATACAATTTTCTTATTCTTTTTTCAATGGATAGAGATGTATTTTATTTTGTTCTTTTTTTAATTTTGTTGTTTTTTTTTTTGTGGTATTTATTTGTTAAATACTTCCTTTACTACGTCACAATGAGAATTTAACGCAATTGTATTTAGAACGTTTACAGCAACAACAAAAAATATTAGAAAAATGAAAAAGTTGAAAAAAAAAAGAAAAATATAGAACTAAACAAAACTCATACAGCCACACACATTGAAACACCACTAAAATCTTCGTGTGTGTGTAACACAGGAAAAAACCAACAACAAAAAAAGGGTGCAAGTTTTAGCTTGTTATGAACGAATGTAAAAAAAAATTACTTTTTTCTCAATTTTTGTAGATTTTTTTCAATTTCAGCAAAATTTGCAGTTATATAAATGGAGTACAGATTGCTAGACAGATACACGTCTTTTTATTCAATTAAACTTTTATTGTTGTTTCTGTTAATTTATATAGTATTATTATCATATCATCTTCACTTTAATTTATCCAAATTGGAAATTTTCTTGATTCACACACAAACAGTAGGGAGAAGAAAAAAAAAACACACAAAATTATGCACACGCGACTCGATGGAACATGACCGTACCGTACAAAAGCTGAATTGAGAATGAATGCAAAATGGTGCTCACAAAATGCAGTTAATTTTTTTCCTCCCCCCAAAATTCTTATTTGCAAATGTCAAAATAAATGGGAACGTTAGAAAATTGCAGTAAACAATAAATGGGGTGAAAAAAGAAATACCAAAAAGAATGTACTAAAAAGTGATGCCACTTAAATAGACGTACATGATATTGTTGCCACATTGGAGGAATTTGTACATTTGTACCATGTTTATGGGATTTTGTCATTCTTGGCTAGATGCCCAAGAGAGGTCTATTGTTGAAACGACTTTTTGACTTTTTGTCATTTGATTAAAAGTCGATTTTTAGTATTTTATAAATAGTCAACTTTTCGATTTTTTCGAATTTTTCCGACCTAAAAGTAGGGTTCTATAAATCGACTTTCGAATAATCGAACAATCGACTTTTTGTCGAAAAAAAGTCGAAAAGTCGAAGTCGACTATTTTGTTCCAAAAAGTCGATAATCGTCGATATCGTCTATAAAAAAAGTCGAAATGTCGACTTTGTAAATAAAGGTCGAAAAAAGTCGATAAGTCGAAAAAAGTCGAAAACTCGAAAATAGTAGAAAAAAGTCAAAAATAGTCGAAAACTCGAAAATAGTAAAAAAAGTCAAAAATAGTCGTAAATTTAAAACAAGTGGAAAAATTTGTCAAAAACTCGAAAAATAGTCGAAAAAAGTCGAAAATAGTTAAAAAGCCGAAAAAAGTCGGAAAAAGTCGAACAGTTAAAATACTAAAAGTCGAAAAGTCTAAAAGTCGACTTTTAATTAAATAAAAAAAGTCGAAAAATTGACTTTTCATAAAATTCAAAAAGTCGAAAAGTCGACTTTTAACTAAATGCAAAAAGTCGAAAGGTCGACTTTTCGTTTCAACTATAGAACCCTACCTAAAAGTCGGAGAAGTAGCAGGAGCACATCTGAGAATCATAGAACCCTTTAGGAGCATGACTTTATAATTCGATGTGTTGTTTCACATGTACTTTAGGCGATCAAAAATAATGTTCCTTTTAGTCTATCTATCTCATTATCTGTATCGATCTACAATGATCCAAAATGGGCTTCAGATCAGGAGATTCAAAAAATCAAAAAATAATGATTCATTTACAGCTCTGGTTCGTATTTGCAATAGCCTCAATACGTATTGAGGTTGACATATCAACTATAATTTTTTTCAATAAGTCACACAGGGAAACTTTTAATTTTTGTGTGAGAGAAAGAAAGGTAATTAAATATTAACCATCTCTTTCTTTCACACACAAAATCAAAAGTTTCCCAATAAAAGTATGCCTATTTGAACCGGCACTTAGCATAGATAAAATTGCATTAACCGGACATTCCCCGGTTATTTTACAGTTACTTATAAAAAAATGAAAACAATTAAGAATGTCTAGTCAGGCATGGCCGACCATATGATACCATACGCCAGTATAAAAATGTGATTATTTTTAATAATAAAGAATTTAAGCAGTTTTTCCTTAATTACGAAGTATTTATTATAAAATGTGATTTTCTTAAGCAGGGGTTATAAGTGGACAAGGGAAAATATGGACGTAGCCTATTCACCATAGGGTGTAGTAAATACAAGGTGACATCATTGGACCAGCTGATCATTGTTTACAATTTTTTATATATAGACTTGTCAAAATTCATATAAAAAATTGATAATCATGGGTTTGCTCTAAAGGCCTATGACATGTTTAGTATGCCATAGGCCTAGCCTTATAAATTGGTAGAAGGATTAACGTTTATATTAATATTTATTTGTGCAGATTTTGATCGTGATGGTTAAAATCATTTACGAAATAAATGGAATAAATAAAATCGCTAACATCATTCATTTAATCTGGCAACTTTTCCGATTAGCCAAACAATAACAGCTCTGTATTTTCAAAACAAAAACAGCTGTGCTGCAGTCACTGTAAACAACTTTCTCACAAATTGCGTGGACAATTTGCTTTTTTGTAATTACTTACAATAAGAAAAACATAAATTTAAGAAAAATGAAAGAACTACCACTGCCAGAAGTACAACAATTGATACATGATATTAAATTGAAGTAAGTTTAAAGTGTTTTATCGGTATTTTTCATTTTTATAATTAATTTTCTTGTACGAACAGAAAAGTTGAAGGCTCCTTCAATATAACCACAAAATCATTGGAATTATTTAAAAATTTAATATTGAACACTAAATGGCAACATGCAGAGTAAGTTTAAAAGGATGTTTTTTGGAATGAGAAAATTGAAGCACTAATGGTTGTTTTATATTCGTAGGGAACTAATGAAAGTGATACGCACCCAGGGGCATATTTTGCAATCAGCTTTACCCCAAGAGACGGTGGCCGCTAATATGACCCGTAGACTGTTAAAGATTATAAGGGAAGAATTTGATGTATTACAAGCCAAGGTAAGATAATAAATTATTACCAAGGAAGTAAATGGATGGATGGATGGATGGATGGATGGATGGATGGATGGATGGATGGATAGATGGATAGATAGATAGATAGATAGATAGATAGATAGATAGATAGATAGATAGATAGATAGATAGATAGATAGATAGATAGATAGATAGATAGATAGATAGATAGATAGATAGATAGATAGATAGATAGATAGATAGATAGATAGATAGATAGATAGATAGATAGATAGATAGATAGATAGATAGATAGATAGATAGATAGATAGATAGATAGATAGATAGATAGATAGATAGATAGATAGATAGATAGATAGATAGATAGATAGATAGATAGATAGATAGATAGATAGATAGATAGATAGATAGATAGATAGATAGATAGATAGATAGATACATAGATAGATAGATAGATAGATAGATAGATAGATAATTTGAGATAAATTCTATTAACTTCAATAATATAAGTATTTTTTATTAAAGTTTTAATTTAATTAAATAAAACTAACTTATTATTCTTCCTTAATCCCAACAGGTCCACCACTTTGCTGATGACTCCCAAGCGACTTTATCATTACATAAATTGGTAACACAAACCAGTGAATGTGATATAAGTGTGGACTATGCGAAACCAACATCGGGTCTCAAAGATGCTCTCTTAGATCATTTGCAGGAAATTGAAACTGAATTGGAAACAAGTTGTGAAAGTATTTGTGCCCAGGCTGAACAACATATACACTCAACGGAAGTGATACTAACACTAGGACACTCAAGAAGTGTAGAACATTTCTTGAAAAGAGCTATTAAGAAAAGACAGTCCTTAACCATTATCATAGCTGAATGTGCACCAGCTTGTAGAGTAATTTATTGTTAACATATTCGAAAAACAAAGAAAATCATTTTAATATAATATCCTTCCAGGGACACAATTTAGCTGCCAGTTTAGCAAGCAATAGTGTGGAAATTATTGTTATACCCGACTCAGCCATATTCGCCATGATGTCTCGCGTTAATAAAGTTATTATTGGTACCCATAGTGTTTTGGCTAATGGTGGTCTTAGAGCAGCCTGCGGTTCTTATACTGTGGCCTTGGCTGCTAAATATTATTCAGTTCCTGTTATTGTTTTGGCTCCCATGTATAAATTGGCCCCGGTGCATTTGTGTTCTTATGAACAGGATGCTTTCAACTCATTGGGTTGTGCCGAGGGTGTGTTGCCCTATGACTCATCGGCTGCACGTTGTGCCAAAATTTACAGTCCCATTTTTGATTATGTACCACCCGAACTGGTCACTTTGTTTATATCTAATACGTAAGTTTTTAAAGTATATAATTTAAAAGTAAATTTAAATTATTATTTTCTCTTGATTTTCAGTGGCGGTCATGCTCCCTCTTATGTTTATCGTTTACTAACTGAACTGTATCATCCTGAGGATTATGAAATTTAAAAAGTTTTTACTTTTTTCTTATAAACTAAATAAAGCAAATTCAATTTGTTTGAAAATAAATGTGAAATTTCTTATTTTATATTTTTTGTTCCAGTTTCGTAAATTTTAAGCGCCTTTTTAATCACGTGTGGGTGGTGGTTTCATCTATTTTTGTTTATGTCAACATTTTACCCTTTCTTGGTATTTCATTTAAATAGAATTGTTTTTGTTAAATAATTACTTTGCTCAGTGTTCTTTTGCATTAATCCAATTAGTTCAGTTTGTATTTTTCTCTATTTTATTTTGCATTTCTTTCATAGTTTATTTTAATTTCATCGAATGAGTTAGTATTTTCGCGTCTTAAAAACACTTTTACGTAAAATTTGTAAAATTAATGTTTAAAATTTTGAAATAATATTAAAACTTTAATAAAATAAATTTTTTATAAATATTAATAAGTTAAACTTTAAACATATTGTGGCGCGAAGGAAAAAGTGTCTTTAAAACAAATTTTAAGGCCTTTCGGTAGGTCAAATCACAAAAAAAAAAACTTTTTTTTTTTGCAAATTGCATGAGATTTACCCCATATTCATAAATGCAAAATAAAGTTGCTGATGGTTTACTAAAGGAGTTTTGTGTGGAAAATAATAAACTAACAATAAACGATTAATATCGTTATGAATACGGGGATTAGTTTTTAAGTGCAACTTAAAGCATGGACTGACCCTACACATACATGAATGATTGATAAGGTTATTGATGGTTTATAAAAGGAATTGAACTATTGTTTGCATTGTTCTTAACTCATTTTATGATACAAATTTTATTGCTTAATAAAAAAAAAATTGTTAAAAAATTCGATAAACAATTGCTGGAACATCACATTTTTTGTGAAACAGAGATTTTTTTGAAATTTTTTTTTTTTTTTTTTTTTTTCATTCATTTTTATTAAAACGATTTATTCTTCGCCTTTTTCCAACTTTTGGTAAAAGAAATAATTTTTTGCTGCAAACCAACATTTTTAATGAAAGTTCAATTAAAAGTAAAAAAGAATTGGCGAAAAATTAATCAAATTTAATTTTCAGTTCAATATTTTAGTACTGGAAAGGATCTATTTGTATTGGGGATATGAGTCAGTTAATCAGTCAAGAGAATTACAGAATTTTCTGTAACATATAATTTTAGTTAAATTGTCTGCTAATACTTCAATTTATAAGGAACAAATTTAGATAGATAATAGATAGATAGATAGATAGATAGATAGATAGATAGATAGATAGATAGATAGATAGATAGATAGATAGATAGATAGATAGATAGATAGATAGATAGATAGATAGATAGATAGATAGATAGATAGATAGATGATAAATAGATAGATAGATAGATAGATAGATAGATAGATAGATAGATAGATAGATAGATAGATAGATAGATAGATAGATAGATAGATAGATAGATAGATAGATAGATAGATATATAGATAGATAGATAGATAGATAGATAGATAGATAGATAGATAGATAGATAGATAGATAGATAGATAGATAGATAGATAGATAGATAGATATATAGATAGATAGATAGATAGATAGATAGATAGATAGATAGATAGATAGATAGATAGATAGATAGATAGATAGATAGATAGATAGATAGATAGATAGATAGATAGATAGATAGATAGATAGATAGATAGATAGATAGATAGATAGATAGATAGATAGATATATAGATAGATAGATAGATAGATAGATAGATAGATAGATAGATAGATAGATAGATAGATAGATAGATAGATAGATAGATAGATAGATAGATAGATAGATAGATAGATAGATAGATAGATAGATAGATAGATAGATAGATAGATAGATAGATAGATAGATAGATAGATAGATAGATAGATAGATAGATAGATAGATAGATAGATAGATAGATAGATAGATAGATAGATAGATAGATAGATAGATTTATTGACTATTAAGTGTTTTTCTATAGACAGTTTATATGAGGGGTCAGGTCAATTAGGAACCGATCATTATGAAGTTTAATTAGTTTAATTAGCATTTGAAATCTATTTATGAACGATTCAGTTATTTTCCGAGCGGGAGCTTCAATGGGTAAGTGTTGCAAATTTATCGATTTTGATCAGTCCAAACTTTATAAATATACAGAATATTTGTGAAAGCTGCTTCCGTTTAGGCCCTATCGGACCCTAGCAGACAAAGCTAGATCGTATTATAATGTGACAAGTAAGAGTTCTATATTCGACTGTGCCTTGACCATTAATGTAAAAATATCAAAAAATAAATCTATGCTTCTAGGTTTAGTATTAAAAATGATTCAAAAAGTACTACTTGAAGACCCAAAAAAGTACCCACAGTTTAGTCTTATAAATTGTCATTCCATCAGGATCCTAAATATATGATTTTATGTTTCAATGTATGTTCAATAATTCAGAAAATCAAAAGTACTATTTGAATGACGAAAAATTACCAAGAACCCCCCTTTTATAAATTTTCACTGAAATAATATTATTAAAGATTCAATAAGAAGAACAAAAATTACAAGAAATACTTTCCTACAGATAAAAAGTAGGATTTATTAATAAAATATCAGTTCACAATGGACTTAAATGTAAAAAAAATGGCTAAAGCTTAAAAAATTGGGTTTAGTTGCTTATTATATTCTTACTGCCTTATTCATAAACATTTATCAAAGGTGTATAAAACAAATTTTGTATGAAAATTTGAGTTATAAACCTTTGATAAAAGTTTATGAATAAGACCCTTAAAGAATACATAAATATGTATAATTGTTAAAAGTTAGATTATAAAAAATCTTGTAATTGTTCATTTTTTTCATATAATCATTCTTGAAAAAAACATAAATTTCAAATGTTCAATTTTAATTATTTATAATTATAAATAAAAAAGAAATAACATTTCCTATTTACAACTAAACACATTTCTGTTTTCCATGTTTATAAACCATGTCAGGTCCTTGACTTTGAATAAATGTAATAATTTTACTAATAGTTTTTGTTATTTTCAATTTTCATTTGCTTTTTTTTAATTCTTTAGAACAATGTCCAACCTAAATGTATATAAAAGAAAAAACTCTATACATACTTTTATATACATACATATAAATACATATGTACGTTTGTAAATAGGTATGAGTGTATGTAAAATATCTACTTCAACAAATGTAAAAGGAAAATTGCATATTTTGTAATAAATGCGGTCATTTCCGCTTTTATTGAATGAAAAATGTCTCCCCACCACCACCAGCACCATCTGTTGGGGTTGGTCATAAAGAAAACGCCAGGAAAACCAAATAATAACAACAATGACGATTTTATTTTATTTTCTTTAAACAAAAAACTTAATAAAATCCAAAAAATATATGTATAACCACCCAACTTTGAAATATTTACAAATTTACGATCTGTAGGTTAAAAAACATTTTTGTAAAGGTAATTATGATGTCTAGTAAAACCATCTAAACGATAGAAATTTAAAATAAAGGTTTACATACAGTGACAACTTTAAAAGTTGGAAAATTGAGTTGGAAAGTTGAGTTAACTTTAACTGTGAAGTTGAGTTAAACTTGAATAACCTTAGTTAAATTCAGAAACGACTTTAATTCGGATTTTATTTGAAATAAACCAACCTTTCCTTTAACCATTGTTACCACTGTACCAGTTTTAAGGTGTTTCAATGCCTAAAGGGGTTTTCCCATAAATTTTTACCCCCCTTTATTATAAAGCAGTTACTTTTTTTGCAAACAAAACCGCAAAATTAAACTTTAGTAGTCGGTTGGCAGTCATTGGCTTAAGGTTGGTTTGGACATTACAATTGTAATTTAAATAATAGTAAAAAAAGTATTTATTGTTTATTTTTTTTCTATATTAGAGGAGAAAAAAAGTAAACCTTTAAACTGGGCAATCAAATACAAATAAATAAATATTTTATTTATAAAATTAATTGCAAATATGTAGAAAAATATTATTTTCGGTAAGTTTTTCATTCAAAAATAAACTAAAAGTGAAATTTAAACAAAATCACAGAGAACAAAACAATTTAATTGATATATTTGATATATGCAATTAAATGTAATTAGTAACTGATTTCAGCTAGTCTGCTATAAATATTAAAGTGAAATGTGATAGTGATATGTAAAAGATAAGCGTGATATACGTAAATATTGTTTATTTATCGGCTATAATTATGAAATTGATTTCACAGATAAAACCAATTTATTGTTGGAAAAAAAATAATTGAAGAGTACAATACAGCCGAAATTGTTTCTTACGGCAATAAATTGCAGCAAACTTAAAACAGTTTGATGTTTAAACCTTAAACGGTCGATTGTTGTGTTCGATATAGTGAATCTAATAAAACGATCTAAAATCATTACACGGTGTGACAAAATTGCAAAAAGTAACTAGACTCTAGACTAGGCTATAGAGTAGACCTTAGACTAGGCCTTTAACTAGACCTTAAACTAGGCTATACACTAGACTATAGACTAGAGTATAGAGTAGATAATAGACTAGAGTATAGACAAGAGTAAAGACTATGGACTAGAATAAATTATAGACGGGCGAAAAGAGGACGAGAGGAGTAGAGGAGACCAAAGGGGGGGGGGGGAGGCCCAACGAAGGGGCGGGAAGGAGCGCACAAGAGGCCAGAAAGACCGAGGGGAGGGGGGAGAAGGAACGAACGAACGAACGAACGAACGAACGAACGAACGAACGAACGAACGAACGAACGAACGAACGAACGAAACGAACGAACGAACGAACGAGAACGAAACGAACGAACGAACGAACGAACGAACGAAAACGAACGAACGAACGAACGAACGAACGAAAGAAACGAACGAACGAACGAACGAACGAACGAACGAACGAACGAACGAACGAACGAAACGAACGAACGAACGAACGAACGAACGAACGAACGAACGAACGAACGAACGAACGAACGAACGAACGAACGAACGAACGAAAGAACGAACGAAACGAACGAACGAACGAACGAACGAACGAACGAACGAACGAGAACGAACGA